ATGTAATGTGCTTTTTTGCAGCACATTGATATTATTTTATACTATTTGAGGAAGAGAGAAAAGTATGGTCCTGAAAATAGAACTCGGTTTACAACCACTGATTGTATGTTCAAGACAAGAATAGAACAAATTTATGAGAGGTACATGAATGCCCCTACTGATAGGAAGTTTGTTGTTGTCAAACCCCAAGACGTTGTATCAGAATACATATTGGGGTCCGATTACTTGCAAATGTTGCATGGGACAAAGTTGATTTTGTGATTATGCCCATCAATATTGTTGAAAAATTTCACTGGTTGTTGGTTGTGTTTGCCATTACCGATAGGGTTCTATATGTTTATGATTCTATGATCTCTTCACGTAATCACAAACTTGTTGAATCTGTTGTCGACAAGTTTGTTGTTATGATCCCCCTCTACTTATCATGCACCTCCTTCTATGGAAAGCGTCCAGACATCAAATACAAGAATACAAAGGCATACATTGAAAAAGGTGTCACTGACCCTCTTGACATTCAGTGGTTGGTCGGTGAGATACCCCAGCAAAAAGAGAAAAAATTGTATGTGCTACTTTTCCTTAAATTTACCCAATTGAATTTTACATTAAATGATAAAGCTTTTCCCATAATATTTATTGCAGTGATTGCGGTGTATACGTGGTGACTTTTGCAGAATATGTCAGTATTGGACAGCTCTCGATTTCAAAGGAAGACCTTTCTGATATTGATCAACACCGTAGACGCTATGGAGCGCTCATTTGGGATTATGCTAGAAAAAGCAAGAGCTTGGTGCAATTAGTGAAAGTGAGGTTACTGGGAGATTAGCAAGAAGAAAAGGTGCACCAGCTGTGAGGAACCGAACAAGAATCCAAAACAGAAAGAATTAGTTACATTTTTCAGTAGCTAAATTGTAGTAAAAGTCTTTAGTTGTAGCTGGATTGTATTAAAGTTGTAGGAAAAGTGTTTACTAAGAATAATTCAGCTACAATTTATTTGTAGCAGAATTGTGCTAAAGTTGTTTTAGCTTGTGTTTGTTATTTTGTCCAGAAATCTCCTACCTACATATCAAAACATTTGTAGAATATGTTTTTTGTTAAAAGTTGTTAGTACTTGATCTCCTTATTGCTACTATATAATATATATTTTTTGTTGTCTTCTTTTAGCATATTAGATCATACTTAACATATTATGTGAATATATGTTACTCTAAATGTTAGGTCTCAAAACGTTTAGCTTTACAATTAAATGAAATTTCAAGCAACGATACACTGCTACTCTCAGCTAACAATTTCTTTACACAATAACTATAATTATGTCTACAACTATTATACAACAGTACAGTATCTATTCAAATTTAGCAATATTGTTAAAAAAGCTTAAAATTAATAAATAAACACAGTTATTAATGAAAAAACAACTACAAACCAATGGCATTAAGAGTAAAAATCTGTTTACCAAATATTCATTATAGGAGATAATCTTTATTCAAATTAGCAACACAATTACAGCACAACTATAATTATCCAGAAGAGAACCAATACAACTGAATATGTCTTAAAGGTCAGATTATCATCACCAGTACTCAGTAAAACAAAATATTCTTTAAACTACATCAATTCTTATTTTCTATTGAGAGCATTCCTACAAGATCTTTTGTTATGCCCTTCTTGTCCGCAGTTGCCATATGAAACCTTGTACTTCTTTGCCTTTATTTCATCATATGGTTTGTATCTTTGTTTTTGAGGTCCCCCTGGCTGCCTTTTCCCAGTAGGTGGCAGGATAACTTCTTCTGCTGTATGTTGTGGCATATCCCATTTGTTTTCATCAGATAGAGGGTCCACTGGTATTTCATAAGTCTGTAGAAGGCACTCACACGTGTAATAAGGAGAGCAGTAGTTTTCATAAGACTCGTTTATGTGCCTCAAAGCTGCCAAAGCATATGGATAGGGAAGTTCATCAAGCTGGAATTGTCCATATCTACAATTATCAGTATATATTTAGTTTAATGAAATCAATGATCTGATGTTATGGACCATAACTTACTCTCATCTTCAGCGATAAAGTCATGTTGTCATCCAACTCTTTATTGTATTTTTTTTCCCAAGGCATGTGAACGTACCCTTTGCATTCAATAATTTTTTATTAGTCCAACGTTCAAGAAGTGTCCTCATGTACTCTAATAGTTGAACTACGGGCAGCTTTCTTGCATCTTTGGTTACCGCATTCAAGAACTCTGCAATAATAATGTCATCGTCCATGTTCTGTTCACCGTAGCATGTACCCGAAACCATTTGTGATAACAAATATCGTATAGGTATTCTTTAACATGTGTGTCGATCTCTTCAATATTTGATATTTTTTTCATCAAGAGTGTATGATCGTGTCGTGGCAAAGTACAATTAGCTTAACTTTAGAACTTTCTTGAACTTTGTCCTTACATTTGTCCAAATATGCCACATGCAGCAATAATGTGGGGTGCCAATACAAACCGTTGATTTTGCATTCAATATACTATCATTCCGGTCTGAAAAAACACACATATTTGGTTTTTCATTATATGCATGTTTGATGCTAAAAAAAACACCTCCATGATGCGTCAGTTTCTGAATCAGCAACGGCGTATGCTAGTGGTAATATGCTACTTATCACATAGATAGCAAAAAGAAATTCAATTCAGTAATAAAACTTGAAAACATCAAAAATACATTTTCAGAAACAACTTGAATATAATATTCTTACAATTAATCTACATTACCTGCTGCATCCATTGTGCTAGTTGTTAGCATGATGCTCCTATATGTCGACTTCAAGAATGTACCATCGACTACTACGACTGGCCTACAATGCTCCCAACCCTTGATGGGCGTATTAAGAGTAACAAATGCATATAAGAAATAGTCATCTTCAGTCTTCTTCAATTTCACTACCGACCCCCGATAAGTCTTCTCCAAAATATACAAATAACTCGGCAGGCGACTGTAGGATTCAGCAAGATGACCTCTCAAAAATTCCAAAGCCTTTTCCTTTGCTCTCCAAGCTTGCATGTATGTTAAGTTCACACCATGTTCTGACAACATGTCAGTTTATATTGTCTTAGGATCAGCATATTTTGGTATGATCATGCTGCCAACTACCATGGCGGTAGCTTTACGTTGTATATATGTGCTATCCATCAACGAGCATGTAAAGCTGTTGAATTTTCTATCCTTGAACAATGCTGATTCATTTATGTTGTAGAGTTAAAGTGCCACGTACAATTGTCACCAACACATATGAGGCAGTAGCTACAGAATAAAACAAAGATAAAATGTTATGCAAATTTTAGTTATCAAGACATCATGTTGTTGATGTACAACAAATTGTTCTAAACAAATTATATACAATTTATATACATAAAACCTACAATTTATAAACAATATGCTATTGACAAATAAAATGTTCTTACCTTCTTGCACTAGACCTTTTCACCCTAAATTGGAACTTACTCATGACAGCATAGTGCTTCATTGCACTGACAATTATTTGCTTGTCTTGGTAAACTTGACCTACTTCAATTACTTTTGGCGTATGTTTTGTTATGATTATACTTTCATACTCCACAATTGCCGGGGATGTTGGCATACCAATCAACTTCATTGTTCCTGATACTTCTCCAAATGTGTTACAATTGCTTGACAATTGTACCACGTTAGTATTACGATAATCAGTAGTACCTGCACTCATTTAAAAGTATAGTAATTCAGACCTCTGTATATTCAGGTGTTTACTATTTGACAGAATTTGAATTTGTAGTATACTTGTAGATAATTTGTTCTCTGATCATAATTTGCAATTTTCCATCATTACTTACTGTGTAACAGTTGCACTATAATTATTTTTAGACACATAACAGTTGCACTACAATTATTTTGTAGTATAGTTGTAGATAATTTGTAGTTAGAACACTTAAAATTGTAAAACATGAGGACTAAAAAAACATAGCGAACCTGCAATTGTGCTCGCATTCGACATACAGCATTCCAAATCGAAATCCCTTACTGTTATACACAGCGAATACATTCCTAGGTTTTTGTTTTCCTTTTTCATCTCCATATACACTCGAACTCCCATATCGTTCCGAATTTCCATTGGAGGACAACGATCGTTCACTGTGTATTTGATCTCGATGATTTTTACAAAAGTATCAATCATTAGGTGCTCTGCAATTGCGGCATTCAATTAACTATAATTTGAATCTTCATTGATTACAATTCCGTCAACATCAAAATCTATATCTCTCCGGAAGCTATCCCACCGACCATTGAGCTAAAGCATTATCGTCAATTTTGACATTATATCCCCAAATTCAATTCACTTGTAGAGAAAACAATTACGCAATCATGTAAAAACTTTATAAATCAGCTATATGTTCAGAGTCGATTGTCAATACTTCACGTTAATCTGCAATTATTTTCTTCATAAGGTATTTTCTTTTTGAATTCGTTGCCTTGTTAATGGAAAACCAGAGGAAATCTGCGTTAGAAGGATTATGCAAAAATTGGGCGATGATTGCGTATTATGTTTGTTGTAGATTTTTACCGTCTAAATTTTGTAACTGAAACATATTCTATCCCAAAAATCCCGCATCTAAAAATAGAAGTATACCGAAATAAGGAGTCCATTTTAAACGAATGTATATTTTTTTGTAGGGAAAACGTGTTTATGGCGAGTAATTTCCAAAGCTAGGACAATTTTGATAATAAGATTTCATAATAGTGTATAGGATAAAAAAAAACACCTTTATTTAATCAATCAATTATCAGCGTCTTGCCGAACTAATATATCAAAACTGGAAGTCTTTATTGGAATGATGCTCCAACTTAGAATTGTAGATAGCTCCTCAAAATATTTACTTTTGGGAACTTTCTCGGGAAGGTCTGGCCTAGGGGATAATATCCATAGGCCCAATCCTTAACCCAACTTGATTACCAAAGAAAATTCAAATTTATCGAACAAATTGCACTTGTTCTTAGATTGCACTTGTATTAGGGAATAACAAATTTTAAATACATCCTTAAACCTATTCGATGGATTATCATAAAGTAACAATAAAGATGATCAACCAAAACCATACACGAATTCCACCCCCATCCCCTCCAAAAGAAAAAAATAACGATGGGGTAAGGTCCTCAACGAAAAGATTGGAGAAGAGAGTAGGTAAAAGTTTGAAAGAGGGCAATATATAAAAACCAGACCAAAGAGACGAGCATGGACGTCTCCGTGTCCACAATCAACGTTCCTCCAGGGAAACCGCCTAGAAAATACTGGACATACAAGGCGCAGTTAAGTCCATCGCACTTGCAAATGGCTGAAGCAACAATATCCATTTCACCCAAACTCGACATAGTATCTACCGTCATCTCTCAAGAATAAATACATAGAACCATCATTCAGATTACTCCGCAGCCACCTCCAAAGGTTGTAGAAATGCACTGATACCAACCAACTGGAGCTTCCAATTCAAGGGTTCTGCTCTATGGGCTCAACTCCTGGAAAGCCATTTCCTCATGTTCCTGGAGACATGGGCGACATACCAGATTCTGGAGCTACCTCCATATTCGGCTTAAATTCCACTGGTGCAGCTCCAGAAAATCCATCAATTGGTGCACCTATAGACAATGGAGGCATCCCAGATGGAGCAACCTGAACATTTGACATCCCTGGATCTGGTTCCATCTGATCGAATTTAGATTGGCGTGGCCTCCTTTGATATCTATCGTGACTACGGCTGCGGCTGCGGCTACAGCTGCGACTATGCCTTGGGCTATAACTGCGGCTCCGGCTGTAACTCCTGCTATAGCTCCTGCTTCTGCTGCGACTTCTGCTGCGACTCCTGCTTCTGCTGCGACTCCTGCTTCGGCTACCCCATGTTCGCACCCTCTCCGGACTAGGGCTGTAACTTCTTCCTCGACTCCGACTCGGCATGTCTCTTCTATTGTCAAAATGCCCACGCCCTCGGCCTCTATCACGTCCTCGCACATCCGAGCTATCATACCGAGCATTCCTGTCCCAACCACCAACTGCGCCACCCCTGCCACCACGGCCACTAAAATAGCTGTCCCTCATCCCACCACGGCCACCAAAGTGACCATCTCTCCCACCACGGCCACCAAAGTGACCATCTCTCCCACCACGGCTACCAAAGTTGCTCTCCCTTCCACCACGGCCACCAAACCCACCATCCCTCATCCCACCAGGACTACCAAACCCACCATCCCTCATCCCACCACGGCCACCAAACCCACCATCCCTCATCCCACCACGGCCACCAAACGCACCATCCCTCATCCCACCACGGCCACCAGAATCCCAGCGTGTGCGGCTACCATCACCCTCAACAAGATCAAATCGGTTCATTCCACCTCTATCCCTGCCACCAGCACGTAAAGCCATCTCTCTTACATTCGGAGGCACGTGCTGGTTTGCGCCTTCCAGAACTTTAACCAGATCTGGAGCATATTTCCAGTCCTGATCAGATAAAAAGGTGTATGAAATACCAGTTGCACCAGCCCTACCAGTTCTTCCAATTCGATGAACATAATCCTCAATCCCAGTTGGAAAATCATAGTTGATCACCACTCTGCACCATAGTGAGAACTTAAAATGACATAAATGGTTTACGATACTACAATTTCAAATAAAAGGAGACACGGAGCATAATATTTAGCAGCACTCATTAACAGAAAATGGTTTCCACATCCCGATAACATATCCAAACTCTAAGAACATCAAATGAAAAAGGGGGTTCTCACCTAATATCGGGTATGTCCAGTCCTCTAGCAGCAACATCAGTTGCTACTAAAATTGGGGTCTTACCAGAGCGAAATTGATTGAGAACCCAGTCCCTCTCACCCTGGGACTTGTCTCCATGAATAGCTGCGGCTCCAAAGCTTCGGCCAATGCTGCGTGCAAGTTGGTCACACAACTTTTTTGTGGAACAGAATATAATAGCTTTAGAACCCCTTTCTTGGGATCTAAGAATCTGCTCCAACCGTCTCTGCTTCTCCATTTGCGGGACTACTTCAACGTACTGCACAAGTATTTCGCATTTGCAATCATCACGTAAAAAGTGGGGAAAGATAAAAAGAGAAGTAGCTGATGAAATACCCCAGACAAAGAAGGAAAAATAATGAAACTGCAGCATGTAAAACAAGGGGAACACTTGTTTGACAACACATAACAGCACCCACTACATTAGATGCCAAAACCTTCCACTGGCAGGCAATCGAGCTTTACACAGAATTTTTCGTTACTCATGTCAGCATTCTCACTTCTCCCTATAAAGCAAGCAACAAAATTAGATGGATAAATTGGTGTTTGCATCTAGAGTCCTCTATCAATGTTTCAAATTTGATAACCATCTGGAAGGGAATCATGTTATTATGTTGTCAGAAACCAAGAAACAGACACAGACGCTTAAACAGCATAAGAAAGAGAATAATATATTAGGTAATAATGAAAATACAGTGTCACCACCTGTTTATCATATCTGCAATTTATAAATCGAAAGATCAAAGATCAAGGGAGCAACATTTATAACCAGAAAAAGATCATTTTTCAGTAGACCACGGCAACCCAAAGCCAGTTACTAATTGTTGGAGAAGTTTGCTGGAAACAAATAAAGGGCAATTAAGTGTTGGTACTACAGTAGCTGGTTGCTTCACATGGATATTCCAGGCAGTGTACATGAGAGTGAAAATAACTGCTCCAAATTACCTGTGTGATAGACTTGTTTGCTGCAAGCTGATCAACATTCCCGATATTAACCTGGACAGGATTTCGAAGAAGATCGCCAGCTATTTTTCGCACTTCTTTGGGCCAGGTTGCTGTGTACATAAGTGTTTGTCTTTGTGGGGGTATCTCATTTACAATCTTGCGAATCTGAGGTTCAAAGCCCATGTCAAGCATTCGATCAGCCTCATCTAGCACGAGAAGAGAAACCTGCCTAAAGTCAATTCTTTTCATTTCAAGGATGTCATTAAGCCGACCAGGAGTTGCAACAACAATGTCTGCTCCGCGCTCTAGTTCTTTTAACTGGTGAACCTTCGGTGCACCTCCGTACAAGCACTGAAATAAAAGAGTTGATCGATATCTTCTCTAGAAAGTAACAGAGCTAAAATGACAAACTTATCATATATCAACTCACTGTGCAAGAAACCCTTGAAGCTCGGCCAAATTTAAGAGCTTCATCTTGTATTTGTGTTGCAAGCTCTCGTGTTGGAGCTAAAACCACTACTGTTGGGCCATTTTGAGGATTATTGCGGCATCGCTTAAGGTGGACAAATGCAGGAATCAGATAGCCCAATGTTTTGCCAGAACCTGTCTTGGCAATGGCTACTATATCCCTATTTTGCAACGCAATGGGCCATGTTTGTGCCTGAATGGGAGTGGGCGAAGTGAATCCCGCAACATGAATCTGGAAAAGATGACACATAATGAATATCTAGAGAACAAATGGTAAAAAGATCAACACACAGTTAATAATTTCAAGCAGAATACTGAAGCAAGTAGCATGAAAACTAATTAAAAAAGAAAAGGGCAAAGATAAAAAAATGAAGGAAAATCCTAAAGAAACACATGGGATGCAGTTGCTTACTGAAGCAACTCGAGGCAACAAAAGGGAGCAACTAAAACAGAAGACCCGGAGCAATAAGCTAGAAACCCAGTCATCTATTGGAATTTGTCTGAAGGGCCAACTACCCTTCAAGAGCTACGCAAGAGAGGCTCCAATTTCCATTTTGCAGCCTCAAAAACTCAGAACAGTTGTTGCCAAATAATGAGGATAACACTACAGCGTACGACATGTGCTCCTCCTGTGGAGCAGATATCGCACCTGCGACAAGCAACAATTGATAAGCTTGTGGCATGTTCTTAAAATAAAAATAAAAATGGGACAAAGCAGATCCTACAATCCTTCGAATAACCAACAACTGATCAAGATTGAGAAGAACACTTACCTCTCTGAGTATTTCTGGAGGGAAGCCAGTATCTTCAAAGGTCATGAATGGAGCGGGGACATCACCACCCTAGGCAATTAAGTAAACATCAGGACCAACTTTTTTCAGAATAACCAATGATACCCCTGGATAGCAAATGAAACACAGACAAGTGTACTCAAGATTATCTAAACCACAAAGCTTATACCAATGATTGACAGCAAGAAAATAACATCAAATGCAAACAATTCTATGATTAACTTCAACTAGAACTCAGAATACCAGAAGCAAGGTAGTCAACATAAGGCCCCCAAAAATCTACAACTTGTAATACGACATTGTAGAACTTTAATTGTAGATATACCACTGGCATCCGCTAACATACAACCCCAAAAAAGAAAGATGAAAAAATTTACATATCCACAAAGATGGAGAGGAATTCGAACCCCTAAAGACCAATAGCCTAGTTGTTCAGAACAACTCGTTAAAAGATAGTGGAAGAGCTTCAGCTGAAGACAGGAAGGGAAAAAGACATGACTAGATTCAAAATAACTTCTCATATTCAATGATTTAAAGGAGCCAAGCAATAGGTAAAAATAGAACAGGCATATATCTCATTCTCCAGTTACTTTAATAAAGTCTCGGAATGGTTTATCAAGGCTGCTGCCTCTTCTTGCTTTTCTTGTTCCAGGGAGGCAACCACATTTTTTGTTATGATGTTTTAAGTTGCTCCGGAACTGACAATTAAGTATAATTTACCCTTTCAAAGCAAAGGTCTTGACTCTTGACAAAGTCAAGCCTCTTTGAACTTGCTTCTGCATTTCTGTTGTAAACTAAAAATAAGTATCGGACTTGGATGAGACCTTGTATATTCTTTATTAGTATTTGCGTACTTAACTGCAAACTTGCTACTGAGAAGTTCAAGACAGATCCAGTAAGTCATGCTCATCGATTAACATACTTTTACATATTATGGAATATGAAGATACCACGCGAGAACAATATAAAATGTTACACTAGTATCTATTTATTTTCTTTAAAGAGTATTGATCATAAGTCATAACCAAACAATAAACAGAAGAATTAGAAAGACGGCGGAAAAGATTTTAGTGAAACAAATCCACTCACTCAAGGCCAAAAAGAAGGAAACAGTTAACTTAACAGCATCTCTAACTGCTTTTCTAAAACATGAAAGTAGGAGATAAGATGAGCCAAGGCAGGAAAAATGTCATCACAGCAAACAATTTCCCTACTAGTCAGATGGCCCTCAGCATAAATATTGGTTGTGCTTCGACAAAACACAACCAGCACATAATATTTTACCTGATATAATGCTAGTTTTTCTCCCCAAATATATGACAAGTACTTGGATTTTAAATGATAACATTGTGCAAAGGTGATAATTTAGAATAACGCAGAAAGAACACAAAATCTCTCAACTCTCAAGAGCCCAAAAGAAGCCAGACTGACTGATAAACATGAACATGGTTCCATCCCTTTACTTGAGGGAAAAATTGGATCAGAGCAACAGATGATGGGATACATACTGTCGCAGTCACTTCATGCTTCTGAAGGTAAACCTCAACGGGCGATGGATGAATAGCTCCAGGAGGTCCAGTGAGTGCTGCAGGTGGCCTCATGAGGTTAGGATTTGGAAATGGGGGGCCACCAGCTGCTTGACCATAGATATTTTGCATTGGAGGACCACCTGTACTATTGAACCCACTAGGAAGAGCCGGTGCTGGATTTTGAAGCGGAGGATCACCCATTCTCGTTTCCTAATGAACAATTGCAGCAACAAATGTTTACATTCATTGTCTCATTGGTTAGGAAAATTTTACAAGCGATGCAAATGTCATACAAAAACATGCACAAGGGGAAATATTATCAGTACAATATATTAAACTGCCAAGCAATATAACATATGAAGCACAAAACTTTCCTTTTTAAAATAAGCATGAAATAAAATAACTATATGATGAAAACTGCGATTCTGGCAACAGGTCATATGAAGTTACTAACAAAAGACAAAATTAATCGGGCATAGAAAGTCACAATATGCATGGACATGGAAAATCACATCTAAATAAAAAAAGCAACGGATGATATGGAAATAACATACATGCCGATTTCTTGCTATAGGTATAGCTGCAAGCTTGGGTTGCTGAGGCGGAGGCCTAATCCGACCATCCATGTTACTGGTGTAATAATACTCATTTCCTCCTCTTCCAAACGAGTTTTCCTCATAACCCTTTGATCCAACTGGAGGCGTATCCAGCTCCTGGCCATGTACCATACCTGAGCCCATTTCACCGGGAAATCGTGGACCGGGTGGCTTGTGACCTGAATCATTTGCATTTTGCTGCCACTGCCCCAAAGATGATGGTTGTTGAATATTTACAGAAGACCCACCAAACGGCAAAGCTTGAGCAGGCTGAGCAGACATCTGAGGTCTGATAACAGATCCAGTCCCCATAGGCAGATTCTGAGTAGAGGATGCACCAGTTTGCTGAACTTGTTGTGGCGAAAACCCAACTTGTCTCCCATGGGGGAAATCAACATCTTCCCTTTGCTGAAATCCCATTTTATGCTCTTGTTGATGGGAGTACTGTTGATTCAGCGGAACATGCTGATTCTGCTGTGGAATTTGCTGTCCTTGTGGAGGCAAGTTCTGTGAATACGTAATATGCTGTGGTGTCTGTGGTGTCTGGTGATGAGAAAATTGATAACCATGTGGCTGTCCCATCTGTACACCTGGAAATGCTTGTGTTTGGGGGCCAAGTTGTTGTGGCATTATTTGTTGCATCACCGGTTGAGAAACATGTGGGCCTGGCTGGTTAGGAGTTTGCCCCATTTGAGATGGCATCTGATGACCAGGCTGCTGGATCATTTGGGGTCGAAACTGCAGCGTAAAGGGTACCTGTTGCATAGCAGGACCCGCTGCTGATCCTTGTTGCTGCCCTATTGAAACACCTTGTAATCCATGCGGTACCTGTTGTGTTACTTGTGAATGTTGGGACATCTGTGTCATTTGTTGGCCTTGTTGAGTACACGCCTGCTGGCTTTGTTGGCCATGAGCATCATTTTGTTGCACTGTACTAGCTCCTGGTATAGGAGCCAACTTAGGTGTAGCAGCTTCCGGTGGTTTACCAGGCGGCAGTGGAGGGGCTAAAGCTGATGGCTTCTCATATTGAGTAACATTAGTTTCTGGATTCCAGTAGTACAATAACCCAGTACTGCCGTCAATTAAGCCCTTCCAAGGTTGCGGTAAAGTTGGATCATCGGGTGCATAACGAGGTCCTAAGGAAGCCGGAGCTGCCTCAGCAGTTGGCATACTTAAGCTACCTAAGGCAATCCATGATAAAACGTCATATATGACTTCACCAGATACAATAACAAGCAAAAGGTACTGTAGTACAGACTAAGCGTGAATATGCGCTAACAAGAATACTACTATCAAGTAAATCAGATAATATTAAACAGATATTCCCAATGAAAACAATCCAAACGCCAGATTTGTATTTCACAAGCATAAAAAGCCCAAACGATAGCTTTATGTCTGTCGAGTTGACAGTACAAACTTAGCAGTGGTACAATCTATCTAGCATTTTCAACCCCATATCTGCTGTGAATGGTCAACTTGTAATATTAACACCTTGACTACCAAGATATTAAACCATGAATCTATTTCTTTAGCTTCANAAAAATAAATAAATAAATAAATAAATAATTAAGTAGATAAACAAATAAATATATAAAAAGAAAACTGTTTTGTATGAATTCCCGATATGATAAACCGTTGGAGCTAAGCAGACCATATAAACTTGATTGGAAGGTCAACATGAAAGAAACTAAATTAGCTGTATTCAGATACTCAAAACCTAAAAGCATATCCCAAACACAGCACTTGAAGCAAAAGAAAACAAAAAAACGAGAACTTTTCCTTAGTAAACCACCAAAATTAGAAAATTCCAACTAATTCATGCATGTAATAGGACTCTCACAGAATAAAAAGAAACACGCAAACACAGACACCATTAGTTGAAGAAGACAATAAAACTGATCTGCCGAAATCAAACCTTAAATCAGAAACCTTGACCGAAACTTGTTCAGCGCCGAGCTCCGGTTTCTGTGAAATGGAGCGGACAGGAGAGGATGGACGCTGAATTTGAAGTTTTAGGGTTCAGGTCTTTCAAGGAGAGAATAAGAATTGCCTGCCTGCTGGACCATTGTTTAAATATGGACCTTCCTCCATGTTGGCTAGGAGTAGGACCCCCTTATGGGTGCTGCTCATTCACGGTCTGAAGCTTACGCTGTAGAATAATAAAAAATATCCTAGGTAAAAATGAAATATCCTTTTTCATCATTTTTCCTCCTTGATAATGGAGAAAAAAGGGGGAAAAGTGGTTTGGTAACCTAAAAATGTGGTTTTATAAAAAGTTAATACATATAAAATGAAAGATGAATGAAAAAGAGTGTCCAACAAGTTAGTTTAGAAATTGGTTTTTCAATTCTTTGCGTGATGAAAGAAGAAATTAACGTGGAAAAGAGAGATGCATGCATGGCCATAGAATATAATTTGCTTTGTAATATATATAATGACATGTATATTACTCATTACTCATGTGATTTTATTACACTCTCTTGTAAAAGCAAAGAATTAGATAGTGATAATTTTTGTTCGAGTAATACATGTTGATTATATTCTATGCACATAAATGTTGATTTTATTCTAACACAATAATTAAATTATTACTAACTACATCATTTTACATGTTAGATGTTGTATTCCCTCTAAAAACTTATATGGTCGGCTAGATGGTAGGTTTAGGAATTCCATTCACCCAAAGCTAAATTTTAGCTAAAATTTACGTGTACACTTACAATAATAATACAAAAACTGAAATTATTATTTACTCGAGCCATAAGGAGAAAGTTGAGGAAAAAAAAAAGTAGATTTTCGTCATTTGATTTTGGCATCTTGTTTTTTATTTGTTTAAAATTGTTGTTTTATCTTTATGCTAAGTTTTTCTGATAAAAGATGCACTCGTGAATTGGAATATAACTTGCTTTATTCTGGACATAATGACATGCATATTACTTTTATGATATTTCTCATGATCTCCTTGTAAATATGAAGTAAGCTCATGTTTAATTTTTATCTATGTATCTATATAATTATAAAAGCGCCAATGTTAGAAAGTTAAATGTTAAAAGACAAAAATATCCTCGATAAATTGATCGACCTTTTTGCCCTTTAAAGTTAATATTTCCGTTTTGTAACAATTTAATAATGGGTATAAATATAATTTTGGGTTAGGACTAAGTAACATTTTTCTGTTGGGACTCAATCTATTCTAAAATATAAAATTTTCCTTCAAAGAAACAATTCCACAATTGGATAAAAGACTCTTTTATACCCATCCTAATCAGAATTTGATTTCTACTACCAAATACCAATTGCCTTTGAACACTAAGAAATCAAGCCGTTCAAACCAAAATAAAATAAGATAAAAAATTTCTCCAAGCTATATTTATTACTCAATTTATAATCTAACCATAGTAAGCACAAAACCTAGTACGCTTGGCTTAATCGTTATTTGTTTACTTATTTTTAAAATTTAAAATGATAATATTTTACTTCAATAAAATTAAATTATGAAAACTGAGATCAAACACCGGAGGAATATAACTACGTTTAATTTAATTTTTGATATTATTATTTATTTATTGCGATTAGTGTTGTGAACAAATGAATGATAATATACAAAATTAATATTGGTGTGAAAGAAAGTCAAAAGAATCAAACAGTTATAATACATTGCAAATGATTCAAAACTAAATTTTGAGGTAAGAAATATATTTTACAAATCAAAATTTTGATTGTACACGTCATTTAAAACTTTGTGAACTATTTCTGAGAAAATATGAAATAAATATTTTAGAAAAATTCAATTGCTCTAATTTTGTCTTATAATAGTCTTTTTGCATTAAAAAAGGAAATTGATCTGTCTTTGGTAATTAAATTTATTTTATTAATCACCATGAAGAAATACATAACCATAGCTAAGCGATCACAACTTTTATCTAAATACATCTCAGCTACTCAAATAGCATCCCTAACGAAAAGCTATTGCTAAAACATAAGTTATTGTACTATGTTCCTAACTCCATGTGAAGCTCTAAAATTACAAATATAGGCAATTTCTCTGGCAATACTATCCAACTTCTGCTCTTTTGTTCAAAGGTTCGTTGGTTTCTTTCAATGTATATTGCATGCACACGTTCTGGAATTGATCTTTTTATATGTTATGTAGGAATATTACTTCTAGACTATTATGAGCAGATTATGTTCATTTTATTCTTTCTATAATACTATTTGTAACAACTCTTTTTTATATCAAAAGGACAAAAAAAGATGCCAACAATATAATAGAGTGGTGGTGCTAAATATTAGGAAGCAGAATTAGTTATTTGGGATGAAATACTTATGGGGAATCTTATATAAAATTCAACTTTTACCACGAAAAATGAATAATATCCTCTTAAATTTGTCCGAAAATAACACATAGTCAAATATTTTCAAGTGTTGGACTATATTTGATGCAACATATTTTATTACATTGACTATTATATATCGCATTTTCAAAAGAAATAACAATATCGACAATAAGAGTTCCAATCATAATAAGCACCCAAAGTATCATAAGGGAACAAACCCAAAAATATCGTATATAAAGAAGTATAAGGTAAGATACGATTATATTTTTTATGTCTATACTATTAATACATATACCATTTGCAGGTTCAGACATGATGTCGAATTATTTTAAATTCAAATATAATGTAAGTGTAATAACATTTGAAGATTGTTACATTTTCTTTCACATCAACTATTGCATTCATATATATAATATTTTAGGTAAATTTAATTTTTGGTTGCTTAATATCTATAAATAATTAATTGAAAATTTACGTAAAAAGTATGAATGTCAAAATTTTAGCGCTCGAAAATCAACGTGCAATTGTTATCGTGCAACGCACGTTCATAGAAACTAGTTATTATAAAAGTATGAATATAATGTCGCTTTACAAAAATAACCTTATAATATTAACTATAATAACTCATAATAAAAGGACATAACCGAAATTTTAGATATTAGCCCTATAATCCTATTAGTTTTAGGACATAATACTACACGTTAGGAATCCTATATGATTACCTTTAGGAATCCTATTAGTACAATTACTTTCGGGCTATCTAATTCGTATAAAATTGAACAACTAAATATCTTTAATCATGTAATCCTATTACTTTTAGGATATACTTCTTAAAAATTCATATTACTAATTTAATTTGAAAACGTATTATAATGTCCTATTACTAATTTAATTTTAAAATGTATTATATTGTCCAAATTTATTTAGAAAAAGGAGAGCCTATATTATTATAAAAGCATAAATACAATATTAATATACCAAAATTTCCCTAAAATATTAAACGGAAGAACTCATAGGGAAAGGACATAACTGCAATAATCTATTTTTTGGACTACAATACCTTATATGCGAATTTTTAATATTTAAGTTTTTAAAATTAATAAAATTTGTCTATTAAATTCTTATTAAAAATATGTAGGAAGTTTTGATAAAATTAATTTCATAAGAATCCTCCGTATTGGCAATACATTACCACTCCATAATGTCCAATACAAAAAAAAATAATATTAAATAAACTGCATAAATATGTCACGCCCCGACCCGGGGAGCGCGACCGGTGCTCAACCGAGATACCCCGGTTAAGCAAGTCTGCTAGATGCCTTCTACCCAACCTTGCCCATTAACAACATAAGAATCAGTACAAGTGCTAGACATGAGAAGAGTCAGGTGTTCCACGTTCTTTTTTCATTATTAAAGGATATCCATTTATGATTTCCAAAATATTACAAGTTTATAGATACGATGAAAAACATGTTTGCCCAAATACCAACACTTACTAGTTTAATTCCCAACATCAAATACCACCCACAAAGAGAAGAATGGAAGTGTTGGCGACAAGGCCCCGGCTATACCTCAAAACTCAAAATACAACGTCAAATGACACAAGGCCCTGAACAGAGTAGGGCTCACCAAAACCTTCTGAATAGAGAGTGACTGCTAACGAGGACCAAAGCTGCCCGCTAATGAACCACCTGCATCCATTTAAGATGCACCGCCCCCGAAAAAAGGGACGTTAGTACATGTGGAATAGTACTAGTATGAAAATCAAAATACATATTCAAGGACTTGGAAATACAACATGGATATGATGAATCATGGTAAAAAATAAAGTGCTTAGATAGTCGTTAAAGTCAAAGCAAAGTTATCAAGAGCTTCCAACAACATTTATAAATTTTAAGTCGGGGATCCTCTGTAACCGCTTTTACACAAAGCGGCCATGCCGCCTCAACCCCAATGTATGCGGGTGGAGGTGCAACCACAATACCATAAACTCTACACAAAGCGGCCTTACCGCCTCACCCCAATATATGCGGGTGGAGGTGTAATCACAATACCTCACTACACAAAATGGCCCTACCGCCTCACCCCAATGTATGCGGGTGGAGGTGTAATTACAATACCATAAAATCTATACTAAGCGGCCCTGTCGCCTCACCCCAATGTATGCGGGTGGAGGTGTAATCACAATACCACAACTCTACATAAAGCGGCCCTGCCGTCTCACCTCAATGTATGCGAATAGATGTGTAATCACAATACCATAACTCTAGATTCCCAAAACGATGATAGTTTGTACAAAGGGTTCTATTCCAATCAACCGCTTGGCACGTTTGGACTGAGCAAGAGTAGGTTCATAAGGTTTCATCATATGAGAAATAAGTGTTTGATTACATTGATTTCATACAAGGTTTTCTTTCCAAAAAGGGGTATAACATAATTAAGTCACAATAGAAAATCTTTAACACATCATTCATTCTTGAAATACTTTTTTCCAAAAGGGCAATACACAATTTCATTTCATGAATATATAAGAGCTCAAAATACTTTGGAAATACTTATAAAGCATAGCATTAGTTAAAACAGCCATATTTGGGCATGACCTGAGTACATAAGCTTTTAGGCACATCTATTTTCGAAGTCAATTTGGAACAGTTGAATCAAGGCACATTTCATAACCTTTCTCACATCATTTCATTTTCTTGGCACTATTGGCC